AATTATGCAATTATTGTTTTTTTATTAATTTTTCAACATTAATGTTAATATATTATATTATATATATATAACTTCAGTGATATGCGGTTTAATTAGTGAACTGGTTAAACCGCTATATCACTATATCAGTACCCATACCGGTTTGATGACCGGTACAGTATTAATAACACTAATTATGGGTGAGCAAAACCTACCCGTTTGCCCGGTTTGGCCCAATCAAAATCAAATTTAAATAGAGTTGGGTTTTATTGGATCTAGGTTCAGGTTTGAGTTCAAAAAATTAGACCGACTAATATTTAGGTTCAGCTAGAAAACAATGATGACTTGTCTCATGATTTTTCACTCATTGTATTTCTCAATGTTGTTGTGACCGGACCGGCCGGTCCAACCGGTCCAATCGTCACCCGCTTGAGTAAACGGTCCTGTACATGTAGAAAACCGGAATTGGTTTCCAGCCGTTTTGGGCCGTGGAAAATCCGGTCCAACCGGAATAACCCAGTTGGTTAAACCGGCCGGGTTGGTAAAATTAAAAAAAAAACAAAAGAAAATGTAAAAAATGCACATATCTGATGCTTTTAATATGCTGTAATCGATTACGAGTATATTATAATCGATTACATCATGTAAAATGCACATGTCTGATTAGTTTATCAGCATGTAATCGATTACTAGGATTGTGTAATCGATTAACTGTTTAAAAATGCAAATGATCTTAGTTTCATGCATGAGTTTTTCAAAGATCAGTATTATACATATTTTCTAATTATTATACATATTAATCTAACGTATATTCTAATTTGTAGGTATGGTTGAAGGACAAAATATTACTATTGATGGAGGGCTTAATTTAGACTCTTTTCCTCAAGAAGATGTAGATAGTTACACTCAAAGTATATCTTTAACCAACAATGTAAACTTAGGAACTAACCAAGACAATGATACATGGATGAATTAGAATGTTTACTCTCTAAATGAGATGTGTTTTGATTTATTGCTCTAATTATGTAAGACTTAAACTTTGATGCACTTTTATTTTGATTTATGTGTAAGCTTTGTGCAAAGTTATTCAGTTATTTTAATTAATTATATAATATATGTATATATATAATTATATATGATATTATATTGTCGTCCGGTCCGACCGGACGGCTTAACCGGTTAGAACCTATACAAGACCTCCTCCGATTTGACGTCCGGCTCGGGTTTCACAACATTGGTATTTCTATGTGTTTCTATTTAATTGTGTACAGAGTAATGACATATCTTTAGTCAAAAGTATAATTGATTCTCTAATTTTTTCATCATATATACATGATTACAATATATATACATATTTGATTTTATATCTCAAATTGTATATTCATAATAATAAGTAATATTGATAATATTTTATTTAAAATGAGTATGTATTATATTTATTCTGGTTTACGGTCGGGTTCGAATTAAAGGCTAACCTGATCGACATTTATGGTTGGATTAACTTCGAGTTTAGAGGGGTGTTGTTAAGTGATTAGATTCTTCACTAGATTCTTGTTTTGATTTACAAATTATATAAATATAAATCTAAAAGAGACATCCTTGGAAACTAATGATGCAAGAGTTTACAATGCATTGGATGGACTTCATTTTGTGTGGCAGCCAATGAAGCCTTTGATGAAAGTGAGACATATTGTAATAGACTTCTTTTCAAGGATGGAGATCACATGTCTTCATTTATGTCCCATTTGGTGTACCAAGCTAATCAGAAAAATTTATTCAAGTAAAAATATAAATAATAAAATTAGAAAGTAATATTTTAATATTATTTTATGAAGTTTGATCGGTTAGAGACACGAGGACAAGAAAATCTTGGGACATAGGATCATGTTCCTCTTTTGAATCAAATGTTTGAGTATAAGTTTTTGCTGTTATCTTCTTCCAACCTCTGTCATACTGAATAATTCAAAAAAGGGAAAATACATCAATTAGAGGGCAAAAGTGTTCTAATAAAATAGGCATTTGATTATTGTTATAATGAAAATTGAAATATATAAATGGTATGAGAAAGATTAATATTTTCAAATTGGTAGGGGTACTTGTATAGTGGTACAGCAATTCAACCGGTGGTTCACTAATTAAACCGCATATCAGTGAAATTAGATATACATATATAATATATTAACATTAATGTTAAATATCAATAAAAACAATAATTATTTTTATTTTCATTAAAAAATTAATTTTAAATAAAAATCGACCGATATTACTGGTACAGTTCAATAGAAAACCGGTCGGTATGACTGGTTTTAGCCAGTTTTGACTAGTATAATTGCATGACCGATATAATTGTTGTATCATACCGATATTGAGATCGGTTCACTAGTTCACCTGTTTACCGGTTGAACTAGCCGGTACGAACCAGTTTTTATAACTGTGGTAAAAACAAGTTGTATCTTTTCAGAATCAGGAGTGCATCCACTGCTTCATCTTTGTCCATATCTAATTGTAGGCACCTTTCTATCAAATACTTGAGCTACAAAAATTGTTTGAATGTTTAACAAAATGAAGGGCCAAACAGATTAGTCCAAATTAGCTTCTCATTATTTTTCTTGTAAAAAAGTATGATCCAGATTGATTATATATAAACAATGGTTTTTCTTACATGATCAACATCCTCCCAAGATGGATTATTATCATTATTTGAAGCAAATGTTGAATGAGAAGGTTGCTTATTTCTGTCAAACCATAAAAGTATTAAATAACTTGAATATTATAACAAACCTTTTTCATATTTGACATTATAAGTTTACCTAACCCCAATATTAAGTCATGCATTAGCTTATACATTGTTATTCAATATTGCGGCTGAAAATAGTCTTTAGGCTTACGAAAGTAACACTGTGTACATCTAGTTTCCCCATATACATATTGGAAGTATAATAATAGTAGATATTCAAATGCTTAAACTGTATGTCACTGATTAAACTGTATATCAGTAAAGTTAGATATACATATATATTATACGAACATTAAATGTTGAAAAATGAATAAGAAGCCAATAACAATTTTTATTTATACAATTTATTAAAACAAAAATGTATTACTTGATGGTAGACCATGTTTTAGAAGTATAAAAAATATATTAGTTGTGTGTTTGATCTCTCATACTAATATTTTGGTAAAAATAAGTCATTTTCCTCAACAACAACAAAATTTAAATAAAACTAGCTGATATGACTGATACGGTTCAATTGAAAACTGACTAGTATGATCAGTTTTGATCAATTTTTGATTGGTATAATTATTGTATTGTATTTGTATTGAGATCGGTTTACTAGTTGAACCGATCAATACGAACTACTTTTCATTACCATGTTGAATAGGGGATTTTTGATGGAGTGTTTATATTTCTAATTTTTTAACATATAAGCATGACAATATTTGCATTGGATATTTAAGGTAGAGGAAAGAAAGTTCTCACAAAATTGCTCACATTATTTGAGAAAATATAAATTTTAATATAGATTTTTTATTGCAACACAGTCAAAACAATAAAAACCTTGTATCTAGGATCAAGGGTTTTGAATTATTAATATAATTAATACACAATTCTGAAATATACAAAATTTCTATTTTTAATTCATTTTTAGGAATCGAACATTTGAAATTTGACCAAATATAATACCGAATCGGGTGAACTTTACACTACTAGACCATTATATTAACGTTAGACACAATTTAGCATTCTATATTTAAGGTAGAGTAATTTAATCATATTACATTTTATTTTTTAAGAAATAATGAATGAAACAATTATTGAAATTGATATCATTTTTTTATCGACAAATGTTAATATGTTAGTATTTGTTGTGTGCGAGACTGGAAAATATGTGTACTAAAATCACTTTGCTTTGTCCAAGAATGGCAACAGGGCGGGTTGGTGCTTACCCAACCCTGAACCCAAAATTCAAAACCCGAACCCGAATTAAGCGGGGTTGGAAACAATGATATCATCCCCGAACCTGTCAGGTTTCGGGTAACCCGAACCCAAACATATATTTTTATATATATAGTTGAGAATAATGTATCTCCTCATACCAGGAGATAACTTACTTCCTCTCGCCAGTAAAAGAATGACATGTGTATTGTTTTGTTTAGTTTTAGAAATATTTTTGTAAAAAATGATTAAATGTTACGCATGTCACGATTTTAGTAGTTGGAGGAGATGCATTATTCTCTATATAGTTTATATATTCATGCAATATTTTTATATAACAAATAATATTCTCTCATCCTATGAGTAATTAATTAATCTCTTTGGAGAGTGTGATTACCACTTCCAACAAGTGTTGTTCATAGAAATTGAACATTTAAACTTTACCCTAGTACCATATTAGAAATTCACATTTTTCTAATTAAGGTGGACAACATATATTTATACAATTATATTGCCTATTTATTTTTGGGTTATAAAACAAGTGATCTAATTACTGACAACTCTTGTGACTTCTAAAATAAACTGATCATGAATATGGGCGGCTTAATGAGTGAATACCCAGAGTATTTAGTCCATAGGGAATAATGGGAACCCTATAAGTTAACAGTTCAGGAAGGTTATGGTTCACGATACACCAAATCAAAGGTAGTTTTCACATCTCCCCGTTAGAGAGAAAACGAAGGTCCCAAGAGGAATCAAAGATTTGGTTGAGTAAGATTGTCATACCAAAACCTCTCTACGAAGACATACGCAAGGAACAAATCTGAGAACATGAATTCAGGTATGATATTGAAATCTCTGTTATATATATATACATGATTGTGAGAATCATGACACTCATTCAAGATCCTAGTATCGGTAGTTTATCAATCATAAGGAAATTTTAGCAATTCTAACATAAAGATCCAATGGGACTTTTAAAGCCATCTAGAAAAAGTTTTCTCATTCTATGGAAGTCCTTCCAATTTCATGAAGCATGTGATTTACATTTATAAGTCCACAACTTTGCAACTTTCTAAGTATCATCCATAAATCTATTTTACCCTTTTTTTCTAGCTATGGGCCATATTTGCTTTGTTATGGTTGCCTCATTCTACTTCTTAACATTTATCATTCCCAAGCCACTATAATTTGCTTCTTTGAAAAAAAATTCTCGAAGATGAACAAAGAAACAAAACTCCTTCAGTTCCTATATTCCACATAAATTCAAAGCATGAAGTCTCAATTTGACAACAATACTTTGATGGAGTAGATCATGCCTAGTAGCAATGCAACAATAACCCAACAAAATTTACAAACTGCAATCTTCCCACGTAAGAAAGGTGTCTATTTGACCAACAACTATTTCTAGCTATATTTTTGTCAATGATTACTTGGCAATCCATTTTAGCCCATTTGTTTGATGAGATGAATACTCCTACAACTTCATTAGGAATCTTTCTTCTTGTCAGCGTTGTAAAAACCGGTTCGTGCCAACCGATTCAACATGTAAACCAGTCCCAATACCAGTAAGATACAACAATTATACCATATCTCGACCGGTTTGGTAACTGATATAGTATTAATAACACTCCTTTTGTAACCATGTCTTCTGCAACACTTCAGATTTCCTTGTATGAATACTACAAATGTAATTTGAGATTTCTAAATTTTTTGTAATAGTCAAATTATCACTAAAAATCCTTAAAAGCTTATACAAGTAGCAAAAGTCCTGAAAAGCTTAACACTACTTACAATCATATCAACACTAGTGCACCAAACCTCATAAGAACTCTTCAGTTAAGTGTGTTTAAGCGAGGGCAGTACTAAAATAGGTGATCTCATATGAAGTTCATGTGTTGTAACTCTTTTAAAAAAATAGATGAGTCTCAACACAACGGTGAGATTGTTTTCTATGTGACATAGAACTCAGATTCAAATCCTGGAAATTACTTTTTCATTTGTGAATATAAGACTGCTTACATATTTACTCTCCTCAAATCTCATGAGGCAGGAGCCACCTACACTGATGTGTAAGGACAGTGTAGCAGTGCTCATGTGAGATGAGAGGTGAATAGTGAGGATTCATAAAATAAAAGTGAAGAAAAAGGGCAAAACATGTGAGGTCTGATTCCTATATGATAGGATCAAGGCCAATCAAAACATTAAGCATGTGTATAGAGTATTGGCACAACTAACTTCCCTTAACCGAATTCTCAATTAGGTAGTTAGTTAGTTAGTTAGAGTACCAGTGTCTATCACTGGTATCAAAGCACCAATCTTGGTGCCCGAGGGGAGGAAAGAACCAACAGTTTCAACGTGATTGTGGTGTATGGTTTCTACACGAAGCATGGCAAGAGACAACGATAGTTGGGTGCAAGAACGTGAAAAGATGAGGCAAGAAAGAGAGGAGCTTCGTTTACGCTTAGAACTACATGAGATGCATACCAAGAATACAGAAGAGATGCTAGCTGCAATAGCCACCAAATTAGGGATTTCCAGTGTAATCTTTTGTCATGTCTAGTTTGAACAAAAGAATGTAACTCAATCCTACTTTTCAAGCTGAATAACAGCATCAAAACTGAACTTTTCTCCAGCCTCAAATGAAGCTTCAAGATCTTCAAAGCTTTGCTCAACTCTAAGGTCATTGCTAACTACCAAACGCACCTGCAATTGATTTTTTCGACCCGAAAATATTGATATTAACATAAAGGAAAAGCAAGAATTTGAAGTTCTTATTTGATAAAAACAAATAATATTAGAAAATAGACATGACGGCTAATTTAGAAATTTCAAATTTAAAAATCATGGCAGCATAGATTGGGCATATATTGAATTTTATACTACTAAACCAAACACCATGTCAAAGCTTAAGCTTGGTAGTGTTGTGGTCCACATAAATTGAGTATATGAGCAAAGAAACATTTACAACATGGGCAACCCTACCTCTATCCAATAGCTTTTGAGGCGGAGTTAGACCTAGTGATTCTTTACACAGTATCGAAGTTTGTCACGATGCAATAAGCAAATGTTCATTCCTATAATAGTGTTCATTTTATAATCTTATGTTCATTTGTGAAAACTTCATGCAAATCATTTACAACGACTTTAGCTTTTGAGGCTGGGTTAGGCTTAATTATTCAACACAATGTTGTTGTATCAAGTCTATCCTATGAATATGTATGCTATCAAATATCGACTCTACCTTAAAACCAGAAGGAAATAAACCAATGTGAAATTGTATGTCTTTAAGATACTTTCTTAAACACTTTCGTAACAAGCTCTGAATAAGAAACCATTATAACTACTAAGATTTATAAGTAATAATCAATCAAATAGTCCACCTTCAAATTGGCACGTCAATTAAAAAGTATGATATTGGGACATGAATCATTCACATTGTCTACTATTATGGAAAGTATAATCTCTGCTTTATAAACTAAGCATATGGGTAATGCTATTGACGCTCCAATTTGCTTATTCACACTCGTTACTAATGAATCACAATTTTAGCATTTTACTTTACAAAATTATCATTGGTTAACGGGGAGTGCAAATACGCAGTTGGACAGACCAAAAGGGCCACCCCATGAAATGAAACTTGAAAAGTAATTTCCCAGAAGCAGCAAAAGTAAAAAAGTACAATATTTAGCGCATAGCAAAATACCTTCTCGACGTATTCCCCTATGGTTGAGTTGATTATTTGCTTGATAACTTTTCTGTACACGTTGAAAGGTCCAAGCACCTCTAATAAAATGTCTTTTGGTATCTGTTAAACACAATATATAATACAACCACAAAATTGAATTAATCTCCTTTGTATCAAAGTCTTGTACGGTTTAATTTTCTTGTTTAGAATTATACTGTGTATTACATGCATAAGAAAGACTTGAAGATCGATGCATTGTCAATAAACATGATTTATGATAGAGCATTATGACGTCATTCAATCCATGTAGCCGACCCCACCTAGTGGGATTAAAGCTTGGTTGCTGTTGTGTTACATGCATAAGTTGCTTGATACTGGTATAGTGGTATGTACTTTTTGTTCTCTATCTCAAACACCATCATGATGCAATCAAAATTAACTCCTCACACAATCAAGCTTTGGTTACAAAATATCAGAGATACATTTCATTTCCTATTTTAATATATGTCTACATTGATGACACAGACAGAGTTGGTGGTCAAGGTTGCTATTGTAAACAATAACTTCAATATTCATAAAAAGATGGTACTAATTGTAATATAAACACGTAGAAGATGAAGAGTATAAATTATGATATGGATAAAATCAATCAGAGGGAACAAAAGGAACCAAGTATTATGTAATATTTGACACTGCAGAGAAAATTATGTGTGTATGAGCATGTGCACACCATAACCTAACTCCTTGTAAAATGGCAGCATATAGCAACTTGAGATTGGATGCAAACTAGTTGTTGGTACAGCGGAAGCGATTGTTGCGAAGGGTTGATCAAAGCAATCGAATAAAGTGCATAGAATAAATAGAAGAGAAGAAACAAGAGAATTTGGTAAGGAGGTTCAGTCAATTGTGCCTACGTCCCAACATTGAGTGGCTAATTACAAACTCTACCACACCCATGGGCTCAAGTGCCCATGGGGCGTTTCTATTTGGTGCTCCTATTTGGCGCTTCTATTTGGTGCACATAATAACAAGACCTGAGTCCAATATATAACATTGACACTCTAGTCTATTCTAATTCTAGGCAATGTGGGACTTAATGTAATAACATATTTCAAATATTCTCAACACTAGTGTTCACTAATCACTGGCAGATGGCAATGCAAGAAGTTCCAGACACAACAACAGCTAATAGTGAATGTCATCTCCCCTAAGATACCTGAATATTTCATATAATCTTACTTTATCACTCCTTATATCTCACACATTGCTACGTAATATATAAAGTTTCTAATTAATCAAATTCTCAAACCACAACAGATCACAAAAGGTTCATCATGATTTTCTCAATTCTATATACAACCCCGCAAAGTAGTCATTGTTCACAGGAAAATGGACTTCAGTAGACTTTAATGTAATAGTCACTTAGAGATAAATGTCTAAATTTGTTTTGATTGGCCTATCACGCCTAGGCCTTGGATGGAACTATATATCTTCTTTCATTTCACAGACAAAGTGCCACAATATATGTGGACAGGAAAAACACTGAGTATTTAATTATTTATCTGCATTCCAATTCTCCATGACAAACCATTACTAATAAGATAGCTAACTGAAACTAAAATAAGTGAATTGACAGCTGCACAGTCATTGAAGATGGAAACTTACATCGGGCGTTTTTCCTAGTAGTCCACAAATTGATAAGATCAGCAATTGGCCATAAAAGTACAGACAAAAATTTCAAGTTATTGATCTAAGGTAAAGAAAAATAAATTTACAAAGAAAATGGTAAAGAAAAATAAAATTACAAAGAAACCCTTTTGGAAGACCTATAATTGATATTAATGGAAATGCTTATCAGAAGAGAATTTTCTTTATCCATTATTATCATCATCTTTTATTGTTCTTGTGCACAATCAAGACTCATGCATCTAATATCTGGAAGTAGTTTTGTAGTTTGACGGTGAGCTGTGTTAAGAAAGAAGAAAAGCTAATGAAGCAGAGGGCTTTAATTGTCCATGTAAAAAGGCATTCTTGATGTCTAGCTTATGACGGGGCCAATGGTAATGGCAACCATGGCAAGGAGGAGACAAACATAATCAATCTATGAGGTGTAAACCTTGTAGTTTTTTAGAAAGCAAGTCAACTTCCACTAACCAAGTAGGATAAATCTTAATCATTTACAACTTTTATCTAATGACCGGGACTAATTTCATAGTTTACAATCAGGAAGACTCGTTTAAAAATATTCTTAAATATAGGGACCAACTTAAAAACAGGTGTAAAATATAGACACCTAAACTACATACGAAATTTTCTTACGATTGTGAATGTCATGCACTCGTGACCTGAAATAGCAGCACCAAATACATTGTTTCTTATATTTTGCCTCCCTCCTATCCCCCAAAAAACACAAATAAAAGTCGAGTGCTTTTTAATTTCAAATCCACAAAATAATTTACCTCCTTTTACTCTTCGAAATCCTGGGATTGGTTGTGCTGCTGCAACCATTTTCTCAAACACGTCATCAAAGATCTTTTGAGTTTTGTTTCCAGACACCTCTATGCTTATCTGAATGGAATAGTTAAAGGATGGTGTTCAAAAATTAAAATTTACAAAGATATGGGAATCATGACTAGCCTATAGAATAAGAAATTGAATGTGGTGATGGAATAGACTACAGAACAAGAAATGAATCAATTAGAACATAATTGCTGTAAACAATTTTTACAAGATTTCAACATGAAAATTATATATGCTCCTCTCACTTCATCTTTTTGTTAAAAGACTTAGCCTCATTCAAATAACACACTTTATTCTTTTGCGAGAAATCATGATTGTGTATGTGTTTATTGTGGAATAATGTAAATACCATGTGTACATAAACAGTTAGTTGTAGAACTGTACTATCCATTGATAGAGCCATTCAAACAGTACTACATAAACTCAACTCACTTGCATATACAAATTCTATAAGCTTTATCTCTTATTATTTGCACTTGTAACAATTAAATTTTGGATGATACCTTTAGCTCTCTAACATCATTGATATCAGCAACAGAGACGGAAAACTCCTCAAAATTAGCAGAAGAAGTTTGAGCATCTACAACAAGGAAATTGAATTTCCAAGTGAATTTATTAACATATAAACTATGATCTAGGATTGAAATAAGCAAGCAGTAAAAAAAAACTACTACCTGATACTGCAGCAGTAGGATGACAG